TTCTAGTGAACTTTTATAGCTTTGAAAATGTTTCAAGATTATTGAACGTTTAATTATTTATACGCTCAAAGCACATATCCAGCTGTAAAAATTTTTTCAGAAGACGTCTATGCAATCTATTCACGAGTAATGCTGTTTATTATGCACACATTTACTTTATGTAAATAATAGTCTATATTGCTAAAGTTTGTGCTATATGAATGTCATGTACAAACAAAAAAAAAAAAAAAATAAATAAATAAAAAGGCTCGGGATGAACATAGGATCGATTGGTATTCTTACTGACTGAAGTAGTTCATTTTACGTTGTCAATCATATTATTTAAAATAAATATTTTTAATGAGACAGTAGAATCGCATAAACCTTTTGGGTAAAAAAAAAAAATCTGTACACGAACACTTCTTCTTAATTAATTGTATTTTTATCTTACATACTTTTGGTATTAATTAATATTTTACCGTTGAACTAAATAGCTTAGTTACCGTTCAAAAAAATCCCTGGAATTGAGTTTTGTGGTTTGAGTTTATTTACAAATTGTCAACATTTTCCCCTGTAAATATAAATATTCCTCACTCTAAAATTATGTATTATGTCTAGTTCTGAGATAAAAAAAAATAAAAATCTCTTCATGAAACCTGGTTTTTTGGAGTCTCTGAAACATTTTACATTATATCGCAAAACACATAAAATATAATTGAATACAATAGTAAAACATGCAAATGCTCATGATAAGAATCTGAATTGCAATTGAAAATATACTAATATCGTTCATAATCTTTCTGAATATGCATACATAGAACCTGTTTAGTAGATAATATTTGTTGGCAATCAACTCTCATAAATAGAACTGCAGTCAAATACTTGAAATTTTAATTTGTGTGCGATTATTCAATAGTCCAATGTTGTAAGATTGTTTTGATTTTCAACTCCATCTTACTAGTGCTAAGAACACCTAATTTAATTAATTTTCCCATAAATATGAAAAAATACATGTTAAAAAATGTATTTACGTCTTTGAAATTATTAAATATCGCATAAAAATATAATTATATAATTATAAAAAAAAATTCAAATCGAAATTTATTATTTGTAATAATTAAATTGAATAACACTTACATAATAATGCGGACTACGTGGTTTACTGGTCGTGGTCGGTTATTTATTTCTGTGAAAAACGTTTATTTTTTCAATAAAATGTGCTTTAATTAAACACTCCAACTAATAATTAAAATGATGATGTGTAGAAAATATTTATAGTTTTATTTTAAAATTATTGGAAGCAACTTCTATAAAACAACAGTAACAATGCTTTATGGCCGTTTAAAAATACAATTTCCTAGGCTCTCATTATTATTGCATTAACAAGTGAGTATCCAGGATATGCTATGCAATAAAATATTGTATTGCGTTTTATCTCTTTACAGTGAAATACAGTTTGAGACTCACCGCATTATTATACTGTATTTTACAATATTGTTTTATTTATTGCTATAAAACATTTTCAATATTGAATATTCTTGATATTTCAATTAGGGAGGGGGAACAATACAGGTTGAATATTTTCATCACTAAGTGTAATATAATAAATATGTTGTTTCAGCTTTTAACAATTCAACACCAAAGGGCATTGTTATAGTTTTTTCTTTCATAAAAACTTATGCCCTGATCGCATCGGATAATATAAATACTACTATCAAAATGAATTGATTATGCTTTAGGATAAAATTACTTCTACAATTTACCTCACAGAGCATTGTTTACATTTTATAAGCACCAAAATCTAATGGGTACGTTTTGTGAACTAATATTTTATATCTTATAATTTTAGATTTTGGTTTAATTAAATTAAAATTGAAAGTATATGTCCTAAGTCCCTTCCGTTTATATTTTAAAACTCAAAAAATAATTTATTTGTTTCAATAAAAATTCGGATTATTTAAAATCTCGTTTCATTCAGAACACGAAATAAAATTACAATATTTATCGTGTTCAACCAAAAAGGTTGATGTGCAAATTATCCGCTAAGTTAAGATACATGTTGATAGTGCTTTATCTAATATTGTATTACTGTACATCAGCCTAATTCAGAAAATGCTATACTATATAGTATCAATCATCTAAATATATATATTAAAAATGTGATCGCTTCACTTGCAAGTAATGATTTACTTTATTTGTTACATATATTGATATCAAATATAAATCCCTTTTCACAATAATAAAACTGATCAATAAGTTCCTCATTATTAATTTTTTATTATATTTATTGCATTTCGATTTTTTTTCAACTGGCAATCACTTATCCATGCCATTTGAACAATATACTTCCATATATTTATTTTTATTTTATTTAAACTATTAAGATCATTTAAATTGTGAACAGATTGTACATGATTGTCATTAAAGTAATTAATATTTTGTTGAGTCTTAATATTTGCCATAGATGCTTTTAATTTGTTTTTTGACCGAATACTTCTATGTCAGCGATAGATTATATTGGTAGAGATCCTATTAAAATACTCTTATGTAAAAATAAACATTTATACGATTAATAATTTTATACCTTATATTTTTGTTACTTCTTAAATGGCTTATGACATAAATATAACAGATTTTGTATAGATAAATAAATTATAAAATATAGATGAAGCGATAAATAAATCCCTATAGTTACAATAACAGATATAACAGTAATTTTCTTCGATTTTTCATTAGGTTCACTCCTGCATTTCAAATACTTATATCGTAAATTCATCGAAATATAATGAATTATAACTAGGAGGTGAATGTTCACTTATCACGTTTTTCTATAAAATCCCAATTAATGCGGAGCAGGATAGAAATGTGATTCGTTACTTGAATAACTCAGTTAACCAATTTAATTTTGAATTAGTTTTTGCATATTTGTTAGATTTTTACTTACTTGATCGTATTTTTATATTTGCCTTGCTTTTATGTGTATTTTTTTTTGTGCATATTTAAGGTTTTTCGTAATATATTTAGTCAAATATTCCGAACAGATAATATATGACGATTATTTTTACAAAACGAGAAAAACCTGCATAAATGATACTTGTCCGTTTGTTTAGTAAGATTTTTTAATACTTAATTGCTTCTAATATTTAAGTATGAACATTTTTTTCAAACAGTTTAAAAATATTTCTAAATTTGACATAATTTAATTTTAAGTACCTTTTATTTAATTTACACATTTTTAACCAATAAAATAATAAATAAATAATTTTACGTTTATTTTTTGTTAATTTTTATTGATGTATATTTTCATATTTTATATCGCATGAGTGAATGCTTATTTTTCATTTATTTAGAAAATTAACATCCGTTTCCTTATTATAACTATCGTTTGATATGGCTTATGTAAAAATAAAACGGTATTTCAATATTAACTCAAGTGGAATACATTCTTAAGTTAAAACATCATTGAATAACGTTTTCAATACTTTATGGGTTGTAATGGTTTTATTTCCGTTACATAAACTATCATAGACTATAACACAAAGGATGATTTTATTGTGAAAAAAAATTAATCAAAATTTTTGGTCAGATTTAATCTCATTTTTTAAGTAAAGTATATATTGGTTAAAATAATATGTTATTTGATACAAACTATATCATTAAGAAAAAAAAAAAACATGAAATGTGTTCAATCGTTTTTTCAATATTTTCGATCACACTAGGTGGAATTGATGTCTACAGGAGGTTATGAACATCTTTATAATGCGATGTGCAATTTATTACACATAATGTTTATAATACATATTATTATTAAATAAAGTTATTATTTTATTAAGTATAATATATAAGTCGTATTTGTTTCATACACACGTTACTCAAGTTCAAGTATTAAACATTTTAAAAAATAAGTCTTACCGATAAATTTTAGATATTTTATTTTGTTACAACAAAATACTTCACACAGTAAATATTTTTGTCCGAGTTGAATCGTGAATCGGAAGAGGGCCACTGCTTGCACTACTTCTCCCCGGCTAATCATATTTTATATTTTCCCCATTTTAGAACATGCGATTGAAATTAAATAACAATTATCATCAGTTATCATTTCATGTTCAGTAGGGAAAGTCGTATTTAATCGTGTGCCAGTCGCTTATCCATAAATTAAATCACCTACAAGTCGTTTCTAGTTGTGTACCAACTGCATATCGGTAATAGGAATTACCCATCAGTTTTATTTCATATGTAGTTATGTTATATTTGTAATGAGGAAATCATCGACAATGACGATATAAAATACTCAAAGTGTGTGGTGCTTTTACATTTTACTCATGTGGGAATTAAAGAAAAATGTTTTAGAAACTACTCCGACATTAGGAAAAAGTCCTGGAGCTGCTTTAAATGTAAAGGAGGCTCTTCGACAATAGTAGTTATTAATAAAAATATAAAGACTTTACCAACAATGGAAGATCGTAATGTTGTCTCTAAAGAGCAATTAGTGGATCTTACAAACTCAATCAACTTTATGAGTAAACAATTTGATGATTTTACAATTCAAATTCAGAATCTGGTGAATTCAGTAAAGGAAATTAAGAAGGAAGACAGGTATTAAATTTGTGAATCCTGCGTGTAATATTATTAAAAAAAAAAAATAAAAAAAATATTGTATTTTATGCATTATAAAAATAATTATTAGTTAATAAATGTTGTATATTCATAAATTTTTATGCTGTTAATTTATGGCCCAATCTCCGGGTAGTAAAATGTAAAAAAATATTTTATACGAAGCAGATACATAAAATGTGGTCCAATTACCGACCACCCTTCTTTTTGATCGGATTCATTTTAAACATACACACATCACGGAACCGATTAAGAATTTAGTGGATTAGCTTAAAACAATAATATAATAATAATACGTTTGCAATACCAAATTTTTTTAATATAATTTTACATGGTATTTCGTGAAAAATATGTTTACCTAAATCTAATATTGTCATTTTACTAACTATATAATACGCTTCTAGTTTCAGGTGGATATTGATCATCGGCGTAGTACTGTGGAAGTTTGTGGCTGCCGACGAATTTTCCGACGCGAAGTTCGTGACAGGTAACATTACACTATAAATAAATACTACAAAATCGCAATAATAAAGCTGCTTTACCCTTCCAAATTGTTCGTTTTACTTACACGTATAGATGGATTAACAACTATTTTCTTTGTTATCGTCTACTTCCTCTCGTACTACCTAAGAAAATGAATTTTAGATTCATCTGTACATCCAACCAGGCCTGTTGCCATGTTCAAAGAATAATTTACTCGTACGCCGGGTCCTTAACGATTTAACGGATTTTTCTTTACATTTCAACATCCTTTTTGCGTTCGACCAGTAGTCATAGGCGCGCATAGACCTGTATGTCAAGGGGTGCCTACAATACTTTTGAGTCCTATTTTAACAAAACGCGTAGATATATTTAATAAATCAAAATATATAAATAATGAAATAAACATTTTATATTGAATATTGTGGTATATTAGTCCCAACGAACATGTTTTCTCATATATTTTTCTTGGATAGCTTAATCTATTTATGATTTGTAATTGTCAATTATAGCTGTTATATTATCATAAAAAATGTGTGCACGAAAATTTAGGAAATTTTGTTTTATTGGTTCTATTGCGAAACATCGTTTACTTTTTACCAAATGATATACAATAAATTACATTTAATTTGAGCCATGTCGGTTAAAATACGGGCCCTTTATAGTCTCAGACTTAAGGGCCCCGTGTAGAACATTTCGGTGGTGCTCGACACACCCGGCATCCCCGTGCGCACGCCTATGGCCGTAATCGATTGTTTTCCCCCTGGAGTCTACATTCTTTACAGCATGTGATATATGATTTTAATTAATGCACAGTGAAATATTCGTCGAGTAAACCTGTTTGTGACGACGAAAAAAAAAATCATAGTACAGTATTACAATAAATGGTCGAATTCACAGCGGTCTTTTCTACATCGTGTATATTTTACAACAGGGATGACCCGCCTTGGAAAGTTTGCGGGCCACGAGATTTATTAATCATAAACAAAAAAAATGTATTTTTGTCCCAATAAAATATTCTGAAACGCAAAATCCATATTATTAACAACGTAATCGCAACAAATTGATTCATCAACAAAATCTTTGTTCCCAAGTATTGTCGATGAACCATGTTATGCATGCAGTCATAGAAACTAGTAATGGGAATAATCGAATGATTTTAATAATCGAATAATAATAATAATTCAAAATAGTCGAATAATCGAATGATTCACGATTCAACTGCTTGAACTGGTTATATGAATAATCAAATGATTATCTGTAAGCGTGAAAGTGAAAAATGTATTTTCAATCCAAATATTTATACGTATTAAACCAATTAGTGTGGCGATTACCGATACCGGAAAGTATACCAATAATTAAAAATAAAATAAATAATAGTACAATATTGATGGACGGTCGACTTCTTAATTTAGTATCCAATGGGCAATGAGTAAAATATACAATTTTTTTGAATAATTTAATTAATTTGCTTTTGATAAATATGTCTGGTACCATTATTTGGATTATTAAAACCATTGTATTATTTTAAAAATCGAAAAATAATAATAAAATGATTCGGTTATTCCCATCACTAATAAAAACAGTGAATTACATTCGATCACATGCGCTTTCGCACCGATAATTTAGAGTTTCGAAAGAATTGGATTCAGAAAATAAACAATAATAATTCACTGTGTTTATTTCAAATAATTAATACACCGAAACTTATTTTATGATAATAATTAATTCTGTTTTATATTTTTACTTCAAATTTTTTTTATATTGTGGCTTACCCCTCAAGAGGGTCATGAATCAAAGGTTTGAGAGTTGCTAAAAATAATAGATAAAATGATTTTTTTATATTATTTAAAAATAATATAAAGTTAATTATCTATTTTGTGAAATTTTTACGGGTAAACTAATCAAAATCTTTTATCGTGTAAATATTTTATCGGTAATTTAATCAAATATTGATGAATAAAACGAAATATTTTTTTGAAGAGGTCGAATTCCAAAAATATAAAAAATGGGGGATCGCGATCCGAAAAAGGTTGATAACCACTGTCATAACGTATTTCCGAAGTGGCCAGCAAGATCATTTGGGTTGGCCACCCCTGTTCTACGACACGAATAAATCACGCGCACAGGATTTCGCGATAGGATCGCGTTCACTGACCGTTGCAACGGATCACGTTTTCCTCGTAACGAGTCGTACTCGACGACGTGATCGCGCACGCGGCCGGTGTATTATTGTAACGCGAGCTCGTGCCACGCCGAAGTTTACCTACACGCCGTCTCCATGGCGACCGTTTGATGTCTGTTCGGTTTCGGCCGCGCGCGCGAGACCGTTGTAGCTTATTATTATTATTATTATTATTATCGACTATTATTGTACACGTGCAGTTTACTGCAATTGGAGTCGCAGTCGCATCGTATACATATTTACGAGCGCGTTTGCGTTTGCCCCCGTGTAATTGTACTGCTATTATGTTGCGCTTTTGGATTTCGTTCCGTACACCCGTCGGAACATTCAGCCACCGGTCAACTAACTCTCCGTCCCATCTCTTTTCCCGCGATATCTGCTCTCGGCACATTGTTATCGGTATTTGTCCGCGAATCTTGTTGCACTCTTTCGGGCCAACATCCGTCACGCTATTGATGCGTTGTATTTACGGTCGATGTTGAACCGAGTTTATACCGAACAACGATAAATATTTTCCGTCGAAAACGAATTGTGTTGCGTTTTGATTTTTCATCGACTAACTACTTAGGAACGATGTTATTAACCAAAACAATGAGCACTCGGAACGGAGCATACCATAATCCACACAGTTTGTAATAGTTTGTTTCAAATTAAACTTTGGTTTATTGTCATTTTCGTTGTTGTTGCTGTTAGCATTTTGATAATTATATATTATTTTGTATATATTATATTATTGCTGATTGAGTGCATCGTCTTGGCACGGTTCATGTTTCTCCTTTTGGGCATTTTGCGACAAATTATTATTAAAATTGTTTAGCACAATCGAGAATAATGAAAAGCAAACCCAATCATAACGAATAACTAAAATAAAAAAACACATTCATTTCGACTTGTGTTATATTTTTTATAAAAACGACATCGAGAATCTTTGTATCGGGTCTACCGTAGAATTTGCACCCGAAAGCAGCCTTACGATGTTCTCTTTGGCTAAGAAGAAAAACCGATGACCATTAGATAAATAGTTACTGGGGCGTACTATAACAAAATTTCTCATTATCAATTACACACACACACACACATATCTGTACTAATTGACTCACCCGGATTCGTCCAATTATTCGAATAATATTCTATTATGGGGTAAATAAATGGAACGTATTTTCATTCAGAACATGTATTGGCAGTAGTTTTATGAATAACATTGCTTTATTGTACATATAATACTGATCTATATTATTTCTTATCTCTTATAGAAAATTTATTGTTCGTTTATTGATTGGGTGCATAAATATAATTTGATTCACGTTGGTGAAAGACTACTCTATTATACTGTAGTATTACTACTGAAATATATCCAAAGCGTTGAGACTACATCACTTTATATTATATTACTTTTCTTTCATATTGTTATTTATAATTATTAGTCGTCAGCCGCTAGTTATGCTCTATTAATGTACGGGTGATACTATACATATATTTTAATATAATCGATAGATCATCAAATGTCTTCGAAGTTTTTGAATTGAAATATCATTTTTAATATAAAATATTTATAATTTGCACGATAACAGTTGTAAAATGAACGTCAAAAGAAACGGAAAGCATAATGTCAGTTCTGATAACTGAATGCATTAAACACAAGTTAGGTAAATTGTTGAAAATAAAAAAGACGATTTAAAAGTAAGTGTTTTATTTATAAACCGAGACAAACCTACTGCTAGACCGATAAGTTGATATAAATAGTAGTGATCAACTCTACAGATCTACTCAATAGTGAAGTCAAATTATGTATAATTAGTATTGGATGGTCCGTCTATTTATACAAAATATTTGACATAATACCCAAATGGTAAAACACGATTGCGTACGTTCGTTACTTTTTAAGCTACACGGTTCCGTACGATTTTACCTGATTTTTAATTACACCAATTACGTACGAAGTTTTAAATTTTGATGCCAATTTTCATATCGATATTGGTGAATACTACATGCCTATATGAGAGAACTTAAAAAAGTCAATAAATACTTTGTGTTTTATTCTTTTTATTACCTATGTTTATTGTTAATGATATCAAATGTATTAGATATAATGAAACTTCGTTATTTCCGTTATATTATATGGTATTTTCTGAGTTTCAGTAAAATTAGTAAGTAATAGATGTCAAAGAATCCAAATTTAAGCATTTTCAAATAATTCATTAACAATAATTTTATTCAAATAAAAATTGTCGATTTTTTTTATTTATTAATTACCGTTCTTTTTTTATCTATCCTCATATTATTTTATTATTATTTTTTTTATATGAACTATTATAGAACTGTATATGTATTTATATGTATTATATGTATTCTATTTATATTATATGTATTTATATATTTATTATTATTTATTAGATATAATACGGTGAAATTAGTAAATTTGACAACGTTACATACAATTTTATACGCAATCTTGTTTATTTAGTTTTCTTCCCTACCTTTTTGTTAACCGTCTACAAATGTACGTAATCATGTTCTACCCACCCAAAGGTGTTTTTGTAAATACGAACTAGTATCTTTTCTAATGGTGGTTGTTGGTTGTTTGCAATATTACAATTTTGTTGTTAAGAAATTAATTGAGTAGTATAAACGTATTAAAAGTAATGAAATTATGTAAAACAAAAATGATATGAAATCTATGTTTGTAGCAAAACATTATTAGTTCAAGATAATATTTTACAAGTGAAAAAAGCATAAGGCAATACAGTACCTACAAGGAAACACTCGTTTATTACAGGTTTTTTTTTTTTTTTTTTTTTTTGTAATTTTCAACATGCACATAT